TTAAAACCGGGGAATAAAAATAAAAATAAACATCCACAAACGTAATTTTAAACGGAGTCCCGGAATACCGTACAGTGGTAGGAATTACATGAAAACGTCCGTAATTGAGTTTACATATTATATAACTGATGCGCGGGCTTTGCAGGGAGCGGATTAGACTTGTTTTAATTGAAAATTATACGAATGTTTTTTCTTTCTTTCTGTGACTGATATCACTGTGTACAACTTGTCAATCATTTACTCATGAATCTCATGGTAGTGTCAGGTTTTAGGATGCGTGGAAAATTAAGGAAAATAGAATAGGATTTTCTTTAGATTGTTTAGATTTTAATTTAAAAAGTATGTCTTTGTTTATCGTCGATTATAACAGTCATTTTAAACTTGTAACTCCTGCTGAGTTTAAGGAAATGATTCACGTATAATAACTAAGGGAATTTATTTGGATTTCAGTGTTGCATCTAAACTGACTGAAAGCTGACCCCAACCTATTTGGATAAAGGCCAAAAATAAACGCTATTTTGTTTAAAATGTTCAACAAGGCAATATTTATTTTTGTACAAAATAAATATTTAATGACATATTTAACGTACGTACAGTATTCATGAATATTTTATAAGAAAACTGGAAGAAAAAATATGCCGAGCATAATTTGTTGAGAGGCTTGTGGTCTCAAGCGGTCCTTCAGAGCGAGAGGTCCTGGGTGGCGATTATTGGGTCAAACTAAGTATCTATAATGATTTGAAAAATACTAAGTACCGTATCGAACAGCAATACATTTAATGTGAAAAGTTGGATTAATCTTTGCGAGAAAACATAATAAAATGAGTAACTGACGTACATTACTCACAATTCTCACCCCCATATAAAATTAAAAGTCAACGCTAACAACAAAACAAAAGGTATCATTTTCATAAAACATGTTCTGTCTTGTTTAGCAGCCCCAAATCCGTAGCAGACAAAAAGTTGAACATTTTGAAACATTTAACGTATATTTCTAGCGGATCGTAATTCAGCAGTGAATTATTTAGAGAGCCTGTCTCTTAGTGCTCGTACACACGGACTGAGTAGAGCTTGTTCAATATACATGTAATACATTGTTTTCACTTGTAAGGTAATTACACTGTGTAATCATGTTGTAGTTGTTAACTGTTTGTAATGTATTGTTACACTAAAGTACAGCTTTGATATTCAAACAAATCTGTTATGTATCAGATGATTAACAATGGGCTCTTATCTCAATTTGTTTTGAGTTTTTTTCATTTGTTATCTATCTTTTTTAGGTGTATACGCATTATAAAATTAAATTTTTATTTAATTGGGTGTAGGCTCATATAACTACTGCATGCTGGTTAAAGCTGATAAAATTCCTTTTTTTATTTTACTGAACTAGAAGTCATTGAAAATGATGTATCGGTCTAGTTTAATTTTTACGTTATTTTAGTCTTGGTCATTAACTAACTAAATTTTACTATACAGATGGAATACACATTTACAACACAAACACTCATTAATACTAATGCAGAGAAATTATACACTACACAAAAATCAATGTTTATACGACCGTGTGTCCGGGCACTTACCTCGTAGCTATAATTCATACAGACTTTATATTTATTCATAAGCATCACCTGTATTCGCTGACTGCATGACGTACAGACACAACTTACTATTTTTACCGTTTTTTTTTTTTTTGTTAACATTTCATATTTGTTTCATTGATACAAATGGGTATGTTGAAATGTTAATGTGTGTCAGAAACCGATGTTAATGTTGTTTTTATTGTTGCTTTTAATAGACATTTTTCTATCTGCTATGTATTTGACCTGAACATTTTATTTTTGTCTACTTCTAATACATGACTTTTACGTATTATTTGTACCACTCACTCCCACTTCAGCTTGCTAATCTGGAACCCTTAGAGCCTATGGTCACAGTGGACGACTTACTGTCGATGTGATGATAAGGAAGAGGGATATTGCATTATGTTTTACGACCAACGTAAACTGTGTTTACTGTGACTGTGCTAGGGGGCGACACCCTGATTTTCAAAATTTTTGGCACATAATTGACTTTAAGAAGGGATCTAAATTCAAAAGTGTACTTTCCCTTTAATAATATAAAGCGTAATGTAATATTATTCAACAAGTCTCGTAATAACACTTAACAGACCCTTTACAGCTATTCTTAGTTTTGTGTCAGGCTTTCGTTGGAATCTCACATCTCTATTTGTAGGCACTTTAGGCTAAAGTCTAAATTTAAAATGACCGTCCTTTTCATACAATAGCTCGCTTCTCTTTTGATTATTCCTGTTGACCTAGATTTGTTTTGTAAAGCACCAGATAAAACTGGTTGGCGTAATGGCACTTAAAGAACTTAAAAAGCTACAAAATAATATTAAAAGAGGAGACATAATTATTATTACTTGTGAATGTGGTTTTCTGTAATGGTCGAGTTTTAAACAACGTAGCGTGATACAAGAGGTTGTTATGTTAATAGTAATCATATGAAGAGATTTTCCACCATGACCTACACCTACGTCATTTAAGAAAGAACCACTTACATCAATTACAAAGAAGAGCTTAAGTGTGGGAAAGCCGTGCTTCGGCACGAATGGGCCGGCATGACCGGAGCGATACCACGGCCTCACAGAAAACGGACGTGAAACAACGCTTGCGTTGTGTTTCGTCGTGTGAGTGAGGTTACTGGAGGCCCGATTCCCCCCCCCCCCTTCACCTCTCCCCGGTCTCCCCAATCCCTGAATCGACCACAATCCTTAAACTTTTAATTCCCAACTAGTGTTTAGTGTTTCAGGTGTCCATGGGCGGCGCCGATTGATTACCATCAGGTGATCCGTCTGCTCGTTTACCGACTTATCCCATAAGAAAGAGCAATATACTAATTAAACTGTCAAACACCAAGCGGTCACCGATGACCGCAACCTATTGTTCTTTAATTGTGTCTATAAATACGGTACTCGACGAGTTAAATCGACTCACTCCGGGTTTTCTTGCATCCTCATTCATAATACTACCTTTTTAAAAAGTGTAACACAAGCATAAATACTCTGGTTTTTTGACGTATTGTTGTGGCGACCGTGTACAATGCTTAGTCATTTGTGAATTAAGGTAGCCTTATTTCACTACAACAACAGAATATAAGCTTGAAGCAAAATGAGTCAGCAGTTCGGTAACCCAAATCTACGAAAAACCATTCAGCATTATTTTTTCAATAATCAAGTTGATCTGTTGTTGTAGGTATTCATTTTACGAAACTTTTTTGCACTTACATATGTTTTTTCAGTATATGAAAGTGGCAATTTTAAACGAAAAACACGCCTATGTTAATAACTTTTGAATCACTCAACGTAATTTAAAAAAACATACCCTCAATAAAGGTAAAATCCTCGAAAAATATATTTTTCACGTGGCTGCACCGGCGGGGCAGCGCTCGTAGTCTGTATATTGCGTTCATCACACGGACGGACATAAAAAAATATTTGAACAAGAAAATACCTTAAAGCGGAACACGTAACATTTTATAAACGTTATTCTAAAGTGGTAAATGTTTTCACCTGTTATGGACCACCTTTTGAATGTGCGTCTAGGAAATATTTTACGGAACGAGGTCGAAGTGAGAGCTCTGAAAGACTCAAGAGCCTTTCAACAGCTTTTAAAACTGGTGCTGGTAATCTGCGAGATGTATTTTATTATATCTACGTTGGAAGAATTGAAAAGGTGGCTATAATTAGGTGTGAGGAAGTCTTTACCTCCTCCTTTAAAATAATTTGTCATCTCAGACGATAAGAGGGTCGCTGGCGGATAAGATGATGTAATGAGAACGAAAATGTTCGTGTTTCTAAGGAAGTGTCACCAATAGGATGTTGATTATTTTGAGTTTGGTTCTAGATAAGTATTAACTTATCAGTGATGAAATACTATTAAGTATTTCCACTTTTAATCTGTTACAAAATTAATCTTATTACTACCTATATGTGATTTTTCCTGACGTTTGTAGCCAATAAAACCTAACTTAGAAGTATTTGTCTGACCTAAAGTTCCAACTACGATTTAAAGATAAGATTTTGTATTAAAGGTGAAAGTTTAAGTGAATGTATTTCCAAGTTGTTTTATGAAAGTAGATAAAAACCATAAAAAACTATATCAATATTACGTAAAGTCAAGCAAAGCTTTGCAGGAAAGCCAAAGTTACGACTTTTGAAATATTTATGAAAAGAATACATTCCTGTCAACGGGAAGACAGAAATAAATGAAAACTTGCTGGAGTGTACTCGCACGTTCTCAAATGTAATAGTATTGTCTGTTTAGCAACGAGCGAATGATCTGATGACGTTTCAAAAATCCCGGCTAAACCCAATTGGGATCTCGTTCCGGAAAAGCAATAATCCCGCCACGTGTATGGAGCCTCGAGCTCTAACTGTAAAATAATTACGTGATCAAATAAAGTGAGACGTCATTTTATTTTGAAGCTCACGTTGCTTCCACCAAACAAGGATATATTGGCTTTTTGTCATCCCACAAAAGTCGTAAAATTCAAGTGTGAGAAAGGGTTATCTGCTCCAACGACACCCGCGGGAAATAAAACGCTATGATCTATTCGTGGCGAAGAAACATCTCACGGTTGAAAAAGCTATTTATACTTCCAACAGATTTTAATGGTTTAGTAGGTACTAGGATTGTATTCTCTACTCACTATTCCATACTCCATATAGCCAAAAGAGCACTTTCTGTAACTGAGCTCCTCAGCAATATCGATTTCTACTATTTACCAACGCTTAGGTATACGCAAATCAGTAAATACTTCATTTAACACGGGAATTGAGCCTGAAAACACACGTGGTCGGCGATGATATTTTTTCTAACAGATATCGCGGAAAATGTTTATTAAAATCTCTTCTTTCTTCTATTAGAAGCACAATAACACATCGACTGTCAATGTAAACCTCCATTACATATACTGACCACAAAATATTTTGTCCACAGCTAGAAACACGAGCTTTCAACAGTACAGAGATATCAGTGACGAATAGTTCCTGTGACCTTGAAGCATGTGTTATCACAGTCAGACCAGAGCGAGGGACAGCCAAGTACACGTGCGAAGTGTCCAGCGAAGGACCTCGATTCGCTGTTGATAAACGATCAGCCAATATGACACTAGCTGGTAAGTATGTTACCCTGGTACATCAATATAGAAATAAGTGTGTTATAAATACGAAGATAGAATAAGAAAAAGGAAAATCAAGTCAAATCAAAACAACAATAGTAATATCAATATACAAACCGCCGACAATTTTGTATCAATTCCCAATACAACATAAAATAATAATCCTACAGACCAATATTGTTTGCTTTACCAAACATTATCTCATTACGATGAGCCCAATATAATATAACGTCTTTCCACAATACTGAAGATTATCGTGTGGAAGCCAGAATCTACGCTAATGGTACTAGGGAGACAGGGCGCGGAAATGGTATTAAATCCAACATTTCAGACGTAGTTTCCCTTCGACAAAGACATTTTCAACGAAAATAATATGATTTCGGGTAAACTAGAAATGTCTCGTTCGGAATATATGAAAGTGATTGAGCCGATAGCGTTTACTCGAAACGTTTGCTATCGTGCGTAACGTGATGGTAAATAAAATGTATTTTGCTAAATAAAATTTATTTTTTAACAAAATATGTAGATATAAATGTTGAACTAAATGTTTCATTTCCGATAGATTTATAGGCTTAAAAACGGAGTGAAATATGAATAGTTTTGGTAATGGAAACGTTATAATATAGCTTTTAAAAACAAATAAAATATTATTATGTACGTATTTTGTTTATGCGTTGGATGCTCTTTTATTAATTTGGATAATTATCACCATCTCTCATAAAATGTTTGCAGCTTACCACCTACCACATACATTTCTGTACTACCCAAAGGATGACTGGCAGAGAATGCTGTTAGCATTAAGTCTCCCTTATGCAATTGTATAAAAATTAAATAAAAAAAATCATTTTTAGCTTATATGTATTTTATAGCTGTTCCTGTTAACATGAATAGGGAAATATATTATGTATAATTGAATGTAAATATAATATGTGAGAGGGTAAGCTTACCCAAAATTTATTGGCTATCCTTTGTTAAGCCCGTAACAATAAAATAACAGTTGAGTTAAAAGTTAGGAAAGGGTTTACAAGCCCACTTCAGTTTCTACCAAACTCACGGTCCTATTACGTACATGAATAATAAAAACAGATTATTTTAAATAGATGGGTAATATATTTAAAAATAGTTTAGTTTGATAACGGTTACATTTATCAACATGTAAATCTTTCCGCGGGTATACCCGTCAACAGAAAAAATTGTAACCCGTCAGATACTACACATTTGGCAATCTCTAATAGATCCATACTTGGAAGTAATAACAAAGCCTCTTATGAAGAGGAGGCTCATTAGTCTAACAGTAGATTGTCTCAGGCTATCTACATAAAATATAATCTTATATTTTCGAAGAAGGCTTTGAAAAGACGCGTAACTATCAAATTTTGTCTCATAAATAATCAGTTGTCAGTGATGCCTTACAAGGTACAGATAATATTAATTTATAAGTAAGCTCTTAAAAAACAATCGTATTATTTTCATAAACCATATAAAATCACTGCGATGAGTTGAATATTAATGATAATGAGAAACACAAGGGGTAAAGAGAAACTACAATATTATTCAACAGGTAAAATATTCCGGGAATTTTAATAATCCCCGGTAAATTTTAATAATAAATTAATCTTTTATTTACTTAATACCAATAATTCCTGGAAAAATTCAATATTCTTTGGCCACACACTGAATGAATAAAACGTCAATATCCTTGTTTGTATAACAAACAAGGATATTTTAAGTATTGGCATAATTTGTAGGAAATCTGTGTCAATTCCATTCTGTCTTTTTTAAGCACTTGTTCGACTACCGTTTATATGCTATCTAACGACGACCGATTAGTCTGAATGCTATGTTTAAGTATGCATTTATGTTTAAGAACAGATTTTTTAAAGATGTTTTTTTTCAGTTATGCCAGAATACGACCCGTTGATCACGGGTCTACCAACGATGGTGCAAGTGGGAGAGCAAGCGCTGGTCAATTGCACGTCAGACTACTCGCTACCGGCGGCCACAATTGACTGGTTCGTCGATTCAGAACCACAGGAGGTAAGATTTTGATAAAATTTCTGTCTTTTGATATAGTGTTATTATACTGATGGCCACTTATGTATCTATCTATCTACCAATAATAAAATCTCCATTATATTTCATAATGAATTTATTAAGGGGTTATATGTTTTCTGAGAATAAAAGATAGTGAAAATGCTCGAACCAAGCCACAAACTTGATTCAGATAGATTTTAATAATTATTATTAAGTCTATATCTCTATTATTATTAAGTACATATCCTAAGTAAGGATTAAGATTAATTAAAAATAAAACCTAAAATACATACCTGAGGCATTCCAGTTGAAATTGTGGAATATTTATATACACAACATAATTTATTTTAAGTTACCCAAATACGAAGCAGAAGATAAGCGAGGACGATAAAATTAGTAGATCATAATAAAAGAACGAATGTGATAGAATGTGATACAAGATCCAAATCCTTTTCTTTGAATATGTCTCTATTGTGTAAAGGCTTTACTCGAAATACTAAAAAGCATTCATGGGAACTGAACAGACTAGTCCAATGAATTAATGGATAACTACAAGATATCAAAGTAACTTTATATATTTTGAAGGATAATTATACGTATGAAGTTATATAGTAATAGAAAATAAGTTTTGTTTGTGCTGAATGACTACTGACGCATAAAACCTTCTTTCACCATTAGAAAGCTTACTTCTCAAGTAGTTGCTTAGAGTACTTTTCATCCCGATATTTCTTCAGAATCGGGACTTCAGAGAAACGTTCTAAATTCCACACGAGCGAAGCCGTAAGCGGTAAGCTAGTACATTAGTATATGTGTATATACAAGGCTACGTAGAAATTGAGTGTAGCTAGCAACACGGGCGGAAAAAACGACTTACATTCGTGCTTAGCTCTTATCGATTTTCAAATAAATATAGCTCTCAGTTCGTAAAAGCTGAGTTTACAGGTATAACCACCAGCGTGCTATTTATTTTATTGGAAACCTATAACCGTTTGCGTTGAAAAGCTGACGTTACCCGCCTATGTCAGTGGAATGGTGAAATATAACCTGGATTGTTGAAATTTTATGTTTACTACACAAACGTTTTATTTCCGTCATCACGATTTTCAATAAAATCATCATTTTTATCATCCGATTTCGATTCGCGAGCCCCGAGATTTTTTTATCAAACACGTTTATATGTAATGTCAATATTTCTACCTCATACATTTACCCAATGATGTCTACACGATATTTTTTCCATTATATTATTGTTTTTCCTCAAACATTTCCTATCGTTCGGTCGTCATGTCTTCATAATATATTAATAGCACATGTGGTGACAAAATGATTCATCAGACAAAACATCAGTTGGAATACATTTATCAAACAAATTACACGATCTGTTCACGGCTCCAACGACCTGTTGTGCTAGAAATTATTTTAATTTCTCCATGCCATTGTTGAGCTAACGATTTTTCCTTTCAGACTTCGCTATCGGTGTCTACGTTCGCCTTTTGTCAGTCCGAACGCTCCAAAAGCCGGTTTATTTGATTTCGTATAAAAGAATTTGGTGATATATTTTTAGAGGCAGGACTCCGTTAAAGAGAGGGCTCTCAACTGTGGTGAGATTTTGCTTCGAAAATGGAGCAACGGAATGAAAGGTGATGTCGTCGTGATCTCGAGTGGGGTGTCGTCTCCAGTCTTGTATTGCAGGCATTTTCAAATATCTAACTTAGTTTGGTATTTTACGTAAAAGTCAGATGAATAAAGATTTACATTTTCCTCCACAAAATACGAGAAATATCATATTTTTTCTTATACTTACAATTTCAGCTAGAAAAATGCTTAGACATTTCGTTATACTTCCATCTCGACACGCCACGCGATATTTCTTAAAACTTAAGTATAGTCCTAACGTTACAAAGAAACAGATCTATAACAAACCTAAATGGCTCGTAAAAGTCTTACAAACGTCATTATACTCCATCCGTCTCAGAAGTCGACGACTTGAGACAAAAAGTATTAACACAAAACCAATTCTTGTCTTTTGTTATTAAGGTACATTATCATTTAGCAGTCGTACCCGCGACACGTGTAACCTTTCGCTTCTGTTTGTTTTATTTATGTAATAACATTATTTACTTTATATATAATTCACAATCTAATTTATGTTATTGATGGATCCTCGAAATTTTCCCGTCGGTACTTTGACGTTACTTAATTAACTAAAGAAACTTATTACAACGCTAACTTTCTTCCCGGGAACTGGATATTTTTTATGATTGGAAATGCCGCTCGTTGTGGTTTTGTTTCGGAGAATCTTAAGTTTATCAGTTTACGTCTTCGAGTAAAACTTCTATATTTGATTTTTTACCTAAGTGCTTCTATTATCTTCGTCTACTCTTATAGTCGAAAATGTTATTTTTGTCCTTTCTGTAATGTTGGGGAAACAATGTCTAAGATTTTATTAACTTCCATGGCCAGTGTAATTGAGTTGATGCAGAACTCAGAAGTCCAAGTTATCTGTGATAGGAAACAATTAATTCTATAACTGAGAACGTTTGTAAACTTTGTATTATTCCTCAATGGTATTATAAATAAATTAAATTCTAAAGTTGAAGTCAAGTTGTACTTCTTTAAGCGTTATAATTATATGTATAATTGATAAATCTTATTATAACGAACATTAAGTATATTGACATTAAAATCTCAATCTTATGCATGTTAGTATTTAGGTACTTTTTGTCAAGTAAGGTAACTGTTGCTAAATGTTGAATTAAAACCTTAATAATAAAAGTATCTTTCAGATACTATGCTCGTAGATTTTTTTGTTAACATAATTACGTCAAAAGAAGTATCCATTATAATATTATGATTCTTCCAATTATGATTACCTCTTCTATCACAAATTAAAACAATATAGATACTAATATATAGTTAGCCTAAGCTAATTATTATGTTTTTCGAAATACTCACTATCATATGAGCCTCCATAATGGCTTGAAACTAGTCGATTTCCTTGTCAAATAATTACGTGAGTAAGCCGAAAAACATAATAATTAATGTAGTATGTCTCACAAAAGAAGCAAAAAGCACCTACCTACGAAACTTACAAGATTTACAGTCACCTAACTGCCTCGATAGTTGATAGGCCACCTAAGTTGAAATTAGGCTGATCTGAAGAGAGCACGGTTAGTCGGTCACAGTCCTAACTCCAAGTGCCTAATTCCAGCCATTTGGCGCACCCTGTCGCTAGTAAAAACAGCGTTATTAGGATTTGTTGGTACCTTCTATTACAACTTTTGGACCCAGTTTAGACTATTTACGACATCACCTAAGAAGTACCTACTAGCTTTAGGAAAATCCGCTTTTAGAAAATTATATTGTTCGTTACGTGATTAGATTTTCAGATTTATATATTTTCCTGGTACGTATCAATCAATATGAATGAGATTTATACCAAGGCAGTAGACGATAGACAACATGTGGGTGCACGGAAATATGTATTTTAATAATTTTCTAAGAATTAGTTATTTTAGCCTTCAATCAGGTTTTTAACCTTCATTCATATAAGAACTTAGATAAGGAGTAACGCGTCTTATTTTTTAATCAATAACTAGCTTCTGCCACCGGCTTTGCCCGCGTTGGATAAAAAGTAGCCTATATGTTATTCCAGACCATAATCTATCCCTGTTCCAACTTCCATCTCGATCCCTTCAGCCGTTTAGACGTGAAAAAGTAACAAACACACACACATACACACATACATCCTCACAATACATTCACATTTAACAAAAAATCGCGAGTTACTCACGTGAATATACTGACAAAAGCTCTACTGCGGTCGCGGCGATGTACTCAGTAGGCTGCGCGACATCGCCGCGACCGCGCACGCTGCTCATGAGGAAGAACCCCTCTGTGGTTTGAAACTAGTAGAGCTTTTCTCAGTATATTCACGTGAGTAACCAGCAATTTTTAGTTAATTTAGTATGTCTGACGATAGTTATTATAAAAACAAATTCACATATATAATATTAAGGAAAAAGTAATATAGTCAGATTTTAATACTCCAAAAAGATGGAAACATAATAAAGAATTTTGTAAGCGCTATGCCATAGTAAACTTAACTTGAATATTTTTAACTCGATATAACAATAATTGTCAGTCAAAATACGTGGTTATATTCAACTTCATGTTGTCTAATGCGTTTAACTTCTAGTTTATGTTGTACACAATCAAGTTAGATGGACTTGCTTGGTCTGTGGCTAGACCTAACCTGATTAGCCATGTATGTCCCAACGATGTAATAATATGAACCTTTGAGACTTGTTTGTAAGTTTATAAAAATCTTTTAAGCGAGTCTCTCTTTTCTTTCTTTCGTTTCTATTAATATCAGTTTCATAGATTCTTTAAGGTCCTAATAAAAATTGATAGTTCTCCATCAATCAAATTAACTAAATAAATAAAATTAAATTTAAAAATAATGTTAAAAGGAATTGTGGCTATATGGCAATAGGCTCACTCCCTATTACATGGGACTCATAACATAAATAGTGAAAAGTGGGTGTTACATTGTACAGTGGCTATAATATGCACCTCTGCCTACCCCTTCGGGGATATAAGGCGTGATGTTATGTTATGTTATGTGGTAAAATGAAAATTGTACTTATGTTTAACTCATAACATCAGCACTTTCATGCCGGAAGCTATAAAAGGTTTTTCATTTCACACAAACATACATAATATGTAGTCAGTGGAATGTTTTAATTCACACACCACTCCAGTATCGAAATCCATCTCCATACAACCCGACTCTTTATTTTAAAAGCTACAGAAAAAACAGTATATTTGTAAAAACGTGGCGTGGTAGTTTATATGAAGCTGTCTACATTAATCGCTACAGTTCCGCAATGCACTCGCAGCTCTTACATTTGTAATACAGTAAGTAGTTCACCAGCTAAGCACTCGCGTGTACCACACACAATTTATCATTGTTGAAATTAAAACAGTAAGCTACGGTGTAT